TTTTTTTTTTTTTTTTTCTCGATCATTTAAGTGACTTTTTTTGTGTTTCTGGCTAGTCTTGACCATCTGTTATATATGGATGGCCCCCAAAAGACTAATTGAAAGTTCTTTGTTTGTGGCCAGTGCTTGACAAGTGATGGGCTTCACTAGCACAGTGCTACTCAGAAATGCCACTCAGTGAATTATTTGTTCCTATTCATTATGAAAAGCGTAGACAAGTAATAAAGAGTTGGCAGGTCAGCAACTGTAAGGGGATCAAATGTTGAGAAGTACTGCATTAGGGAATGATTGTCAGGGAGCCAGTCATTTGGCTGGAGGCCTTTTCTTTGACAGGGACTGTTCAGTCTCTCTAAGGAATTCACTGGTCCTCTTCAGAAGGAAGGGGTCCAAGGAGGGTCTGGGGTTTTTTTTGTTTGTTTGTTTTTTTGTTTTGCTTTTAACTCCCTCCTGCCTTGTCCTCCACCTCACCTTCTGTTTTCTACTTTATACATATTTCTTTATACCTATCCCTCTGCACATCCCTTCTGCGTGGTTGTCTTCCATTACTTTATAGAGAGAAAAATTATCTCTTACCCATGGGAGACAGTGAAGGAGGTGAGAGATTGTATTTGGCTGAGAGGGGGAGGGCAGAGGTTTTGGGATCTGACCATTCTGTTGTATGTAATTTTCAACTAGTCATTTTCAGGCCTATTCCTTGTTGCTATAATTTTTACATCCAAGTCTGAACTTCTCAGGGGCTGTGGGCCAATCAGCGTGCTTCTCACTGGTGTCCCCCTTACAGTATCTCTAGATTACAGCTTCCTCTGTCCTGCTCATATTCCGTCTGCTTTCTGTTTTCTAGAAATCTGCTGAAAATGCTTTTCTGGTTTTCTCCCCCCTATCAACTCTCTATCCTTTTTGACTCATATCTTTAAAAAATTTGTTTTAGGGGTGCCTGGATGGCTCAGTTGGTTAGGCGTCTGACTCTTGGTTTTGGCTCAGGTCATGATCTTACAGTTCATGAGTTTGAGCCCCATATCAGGCTCTGTGCTGATGGCACAGAGCCAGCTTGGTATTCTCTCACTCACTCTGCCACTCCTTCACTCGTGCTGTCTCTCTCCAAAAACAGGTAAGTAAAT